AGACACAGAATCTGAAACAGGCTCCAGGCTCCGAGCTGTCAGCACAGAGCCCGACGCGGGGCTCAAACTCACAGACCGCAAGATCATGACCTGAGCCAAAGTCGGACGCCCAACCGACCAAGCCACCCAGGCACCCCGAGAGAGAGGGAATCTTAAACAGGCTCCATGCTCAGTGCAGAGCCTGAGACGGGGCTTGATCCCATGAACCCAGGATCATGACCTGAGCTGAAATCAAGAATCAGATGCTCAACTGATCCACCTAGGCACCCCTTTCCCTTACACTTTTAAAATCTTGGGTTATAGAACCTCTACTAGTATTGTTATAGAAAGGTCAGTGGAACTCACTAGCATTTAGAGTAAAGATGCTGACACCCAAAGTGAGCAGAAAGGCACCTGTGATCTCCCAGACTGACCTAGCTCAAGTCAGCCATATGGGCTACTTGGATCTCGTATGCGTGTGTATTAATAAAGCTCTTAATAGATGTCACTGGTTCCTGGGGTGTCCATCTTACCTCCTCCCCTTGATTCATGGAAGCCTACTTGACATAGGTCCTCAGAAAATGTAGAGACATCTTCTTGAGAAAATCCCTGAAGAGGGGGCCCTCCAAAATTCAGAAGGAGGTCCTCCAAGATTCCTACACAGTACGAAGAGAGAAAAAAGACAGAGAAGTAATTAAGGGGGAAAAAAAAAAGGAGCTACAAGAATTGGAGGGAATGAAGATAAAAAAAGGATAGAGTCCTGGAAGCTCAGGAAAGAAAATCAGCTTCCTTCCTGGCAATAGCTAAGTAGTAACTAAGACACTTAAATGTCAACCCTCTTCTTCTCCAGGGGCTGTTGCTAGTGGATGCCAACTGCAATGTCTGAGAACAGTCCACAAGACCACCCTGACCTCTAACACTAATAGCAAGTTTGGAGGGTTCCAAGACTATCTTTACGTCCAATAATTTGCTAGGAAGACTCACAGAACACACCAAAAGCTTTTACACTCAGGTTATGTTTTATTACACTTACAGGTCCAGATTAAGGTCACTCAAGGGAGAAAAGACATAGGGCAGAATCCAACAGAATTCCAAACACAGAGCTTCCAGTTCTCTTCTCCCCGAGGAGTCGGGACATTGTTATTCTCCAGGCATCAAAGTATGACAATAAGCATATCATATTGCCAACCAGGGAAGCTCACCTGAGCCTTGGTGTCCACTCTTTATTGGGGTTCTATCACATAGACATGGTTGACTGCTCATGTGGCTGAATTCAGTTTCCAGCCCCTCAGGAGATCAAGCTGATATTTTATGACCCAAAGCCTCCATCCAAAAATCACATTGTTACTATATGGCTGGCCCAAGGCCCCCAGGCAAATGAAGACCCTGCAATCAAACATAACATTCCAAGGGCTTGGAGATTACCTCCCAGAAGCTGAGGGCAAGGGCCAGACCTCTCTTTGGGCAAAGTTAAATTCTTTACTACAAAGATATGGATGTACCTGTGAGCTGAAGAACATTATGAGAACATAAAGATTGTTTTGAATGACTCATCTTGTCAAGTAGGGTGTCTAAAGAGGAGGACCCTAAATGCCAGGCTGAGGAGCTGAGACCAGCCAGGAATGGGAGGGAAGAGGATGATGAGTAGGGAAGGGCTCACCTCAAAGCTCTTCCTGAATGGAACTAGCGACTCTGAAGTTCTTTGGGCTTCAATTAGCAAATCCAACTGCCCTCCCAGAATCTGACAAGTGTGGTCTTCAGGTCCAAGGTCGGGCCTGCCTGTGAGGAAGGAATCTCTGAAGCAGAGTTGAGCCTATATGACATCCCTGTGCTGCCATCAGAAGTGATGGGGTAGCTGATGGACCCAGTCTGAAGCTCAGCCAAATGGATGTCTTAGGAAGAAATTCAGCACCCAAGAACCAGAGAGTCATGTTTTATATCACTGTGCATTCAATGGAATCTTTATTGGTTCCATTTCCCATGAGGAAAATGGGGCTGATGATTCTCCCACAAAAGTGTTCATGAAAATAAGCCAAAAGCCCTCATGTCCCATCATCCTATGGAGATGAATGAAGTTATGTTAACTTCTATTTGAAGAAATAATGGCTGGAAATTTCCCAAATTTGATCATTTATTTACATATCCAAGAAATTCAACTCCAAATGGAATAAACTCAAAGAAATACCCAGACACTTCATAATCAAATGATCAAGTCAGACCATGAGAGAATCTTGAAAACAGCAAGAAAGAAGCAATTCATCTTTTATAAGTATTCCTCAACAAGATTAACAGCTGATTTGCCATCAAAAACCATGGAGGCCAGAAGACAGTGACATGGCATCTTCAAGTGC